AGGGATAACATGGGAATCCTTCGCTCCAACTGCAAATTCATGTTCTGGGTGATGGTACCCTGACGATTGTTTAAATGCAAGTTGGTGGCAACACGAGGCTTCGAACTAATAGCTGCTATCCTTTTTAGATATCTACACTGACCCTGCATCTATCGGCTTCTTAAAATATATGTTTTTTCAGGAGCTTGTGAATTCAAAAACCTTGTGAGAACTCATCTTGCTCACAAGGTAAGCGTATCTTTGCAAACCAAAACATAACATGTAGGGATTAGAGTCGAAAACCGGTTCCTGTTCAGAACCGGTTCTGTGTGCTCCAATTCATGGCACCGTTTGGCAGCTCACTTAACGATTCTCTTAACAGTTCCAGGCAGGAAGAGAGAGATGGCAACAAGGCGCTTTGCAATTATTGCAAAGTGGCAATTACATCCGTGGGAGGAAATACATTCAACATGCAGAAACACCTGCACACACAACATGGCATACATTTTAACAAATGGCATGTTTTGGATACTTCTGGACAGAAGCTAAAGTTACAACCAGCATGTAGGTCAACTCTGGTGGTAAGTAGCTAGTTTTATATCACTGGCTGTGGTTCCTAGTAAATCATATGCCATTTCTGGAAATAAACCCATTTCCTACCTCTCTTTGGGGTTATTAAACATGCTACGAAGTTGCTCCGCAGTTCAGGGAACGGCAGAAAGGTGACGCTCGTTTATCTAAATCAGGGGGAGATGAGTTTATTTATTTTATAGCCTGGCTGGCTGCTCCCAACCTTAATAACATGTAAAACAAAATATGTTTAGCCTTACAGACCAAGATTGTGGGTGCAACAAAGAAATTTGACTTAAGTGTCAAGTGATCACTGCATACAGACATGAACCATATACATGGGTACAAGTAAAAATTATATAACCAGCACATTAGACAAATATAACCGCAGCATGAATCATACAAAAACATAATTACCTGTGTTTTGATAAGTACAATAGCTCACATGTTCAGAAGGGCAATTTTGATGAGGCTCAATAAACAACCACCAGAAGTTTAGTTTCCATTGCCTCTGAGTCAATTCTTTCAAACACTAGTCTGGTTTTATTGCTGCTTTTATTGAGGATGTAATAACACGGACTATAACTTTTAAATAAGTAATTCATAACTCTTGTTTGTATATAGAGGTATACTGAATTGGCCTTATGCACAAGGTATGCACTATAACACAGTGAGAGTGCAAGATGCTGCAAATATGAGATAATTGCAGACAAAACACCCATCTAACCTCTATGAATGCAGTCTGATGCTTTAACAAAAATATAGTGTATTTTCTTTTTTTTTTTGCCGTCCCCTCACTTTAGCCTGTCTTAAAAATGCACCTGTGCAGCCAATTATTATGGAATGATTTAACAATAACCAACTTGATACGCACTACTCAAAAAAAACTTTAAAAACACATTGGATTTTAATTTAGAAAAAAAAAATGTACTGTAAGGATACAGAATGAGTATTGTGGTAAAAGCAAAATGATGATTCATTATTTGATGAATAGGAAAGTGATTAATCCACAGAGGGCTTAATCTAAAGTCATGCAGATGGTGAAACTGAAAAAGCTCCAGGCTAATTTACCTTTCTTAAATGTCTTTTCAGCAACTCAGAATAGTACTAAGCAGTTTGTATGCTCACAAAAATGCTTGTATGCATGCCTCGCTGGGGCAGTTGCTGGATTTGGGATTTGCATCATTCTACATTACCAGGAGTGACACCAACCCTGGTCCATCAAAAGCAAAACCAAATAGCAATACCAAAAAATATTTAAGAAAAAATGAGGAAGGTAAAAAATGTATGTGTATGTGGGTACTACTTGTTTAACCATTCCTGTTTTTGGGATGATCTAAACATCTAACACAGCGGTTGTTAACTTTATTAAGGGGTCATAGAATGCAAAACCGAGTTTCCATTGTCATAGATGAATAACAATAGTTCAGAGGGTGAAATGGACGTACAGAGAAGTTCAAAACCCATCGACACCTCCTTTCTCTGCAAATCTCACAATTCTAAACTTCCACCATGAAACGGGGGAATTCAAACGAAGCACCGAATTGAATATCAACTTGGGGATGTTGCCTTATTTGGTCCTGGCCTGAACTTTTCTCACGCCCCGAAATTCACATACAGACCAGCCCACTGGTTCACTGGCCCAAGAAGATGAATAGAGGTAGATGTAAGACACCAGTTTAGCTGTTTAGCCTACAGTTGGGTTTACTTCTACAAGATTTACAAAGCAGGCAGTTTCTCTACTGAAAATGAGCCAGAACCACAGGTGTAAATGCAGTTTTCCAGGCTGCATGCAGAAAGGGGAAAATTTTCACAGTCTTCCCAAGGATCTGAAGACTCGAATGGCATGGATTATTTTTGTGCTGCTGACTGGACCAGACCGGGCCCCAGCGGGTGACAGAGCAACCGAACCTGGCGACGTTATGCTTGTAGCCTGGTCAACGGCGGCCGCGAAGCATACCGTCACCGGGTCGGGTTTGCTCACTCCGTCCACTACCTGCTGCACTGTAGTCGACCAAAATCCCGGAAGATTTTCAAATTCGCCCCGGACATTTTTTAGGTATGAAAAGTAGGACATGTCCGGGAAAAAGAGGACGTCTTGTCACCCTACCATATCAATAATTTTAATGTTTCAGTGAATGAGTGCTTGTTGCTATGAGGCATTTTTGCTCAGCAGCTTCCCTCATCATAAACCAAAGAAACCAATCAGCATGCAGCTCATCTAAATATTCATGAGCATACCATAAAAGGAAGAAAAGCTGTTGTTTCATTCTAGGGCTTTAAACCAGGCTTGCATTAGGGCTCATAGCACAGCAAATATGCCATTTTCAGCCCAACCAATGTCACACATCCTATTCAGACATCTTAAGGACCAGCACCAAATACCCTATATAATCAATCATAGTTTTAATCAAAGCAGCAAACAAACTTCTCTGCTACTTAACTGACCTGATAAAAATTCAAGAAGTTTAAATTCCTTAACATTATACTCTGATTAAAAAGAGGTAATTTAGCTTCTTTGAGTGCTGTCCATTTATAACCGAAACCACTTTGGCCTTTTACATTTTTGAGAAACTTTTTATCAAGCTCTTTGCAGAAATATCATAAACTTTATCCACAATGTTTATTTTGAAATAGCAGCTCAGACAGAGCCGACCAGAGCCTGGAGCTAAACTTATGTAAAGGCACAGACACACACACACACACTGCTGCAGACTGCTGTAGGGGACTCACAGATGGCAATGTGGAAAATAACAGTCATAACTTTAGTGGACATTTTTAAGAGGATAAAAACATGAAATTCGCTGCCTACAAATATCAGAGTCAAAGAATTAACATAATCAATACAGACAATTTCGATGAATAACCTAATCTACGAGTTTTTGTAATGAATATGCCTTTTGGAAGACTTTGATACAAGGATAGAAACATTTTAAATTAAGAAAAATACAATAAACTGTTGATATCAGCCACAGTTTTAGGGGGAGGCAGTATACATTGTTTTTAGGTTAGTGTTGCCTCCATTGGATTAAGATAAGGTGTAAAGTGTTGTGTAATGATCCCTGAGTGGAGAGATTTTTTGCTAATTGGGAATCTTATGAACATGTTTGGCTTGATTTTTTATTTTTTTGTTATGCTGCTCTTCATAACATTTTGCAGGTTTTTAGAACAGAAACAAGGAAAACCGTTTTTATCACGTTGGAGAGCACACATTACACATTGTGACAAAAATGTTTTGTCTTTCTAACAATAACATGCTGATTATTTCTTTATTAATTTTGAAAAAATAGAATCCAGTAAAAATGACATCATCAATCACTGATGGTCATTGGTTAATCAAGTCAAACTTTGAAAATATACTTGCATAACAAAAGCATTCCCTGAGTAACAGTACAAACAGGTAGTAATTGTATATATTTTTTTTGCTTATCATTTTTTTCATAAAGTACCTTACATGACATGAACTGGTACAAAAGATCTAGGCCTCATTGCTTTTGCAAACCTTCAGCTCTGATACTCCCATGTGTGACACCCCATAGCCTAGCAGATTACTTCTAAGCTCATTTACATAGTAAACGGTGACCCGGTGTTTAATGGGGCGAAATTGTGATCAGGGACTGCAGAGGGTCCAAGACAAAGCACGAAGCAGAGTGCAAAGGTATGATAATCATTTTTTTCCAGTTAGCAGATGTGATTTTAGGGTGCAAGGTATTATTTGAGGGGTTTTCCTCCGTGAAAACCCTGAAATGTTGATGACTGTTATTTATCGACCTCGTACGTAGAAATCGATTTGCAGGTTCGGCAAAAACTTCTACAGTTAAACCAAATCAGGTTACAACAGATTCCCTATGCAACAGCAAAACAAATGCAATACTAAATATCTATATAAAAGTGTTATTTTTAGATGTATATATGGGGATCAAATTGGTATGCACAAACCCTCCAAGCATGATCTCTTTTTTTATCAAAATGTTAAATGAGAAAAAGTGAATTTAATGAAAAGATTTGACTTCTGCAGTCTATTAATATGAAAAGCTATAATACATCATATTAAAGTATTTCTTAAATAACATTTCTCTACACAGAGACTCTGTATAAGAAATGCACCATATTAGGATGTATGCAAAAGACAATGGATCCTAAATGGTGGTCCACTCACCATTCAAAGATTTGTTTTCTCACTGTTACCTCCTGCTTTCTGTAAATACTCCAACAACATAGTTTGAATGACAATATTTTCTTCTGAAGGCAACAGTTTCAATAATAAATTCTTGTTGGGAAAAATTGAAGGTTTCCCTAAATACCAATTTTACAACAAGAGCACAATTGATCAGTTTATCAATACTACAGGAAGACAGGAATTAATTTTTGACTAGGCATGTTTATTCTAAGCCATTGCCATAATCTGCAACAGTTCTAGGAAATTTTGGTCTCACAACCAAATTTCATACCTGTAGTTCACAGGCCAGCGCACCATCCACATACGGTGATAGGAGAGCGAGGTGACGGAGAAGCAGGTGACCAATGTTAAAGTGTAAAATGTGGAGACAAACACTTTGCAGAGACCCTCATTCCACTCGTAGTTGGAGTGCTGTCGCCGCAGTGTTATAACACAGTACATGGTAATGGGGATAGCCATGTTGAGAATGTGTGTCCCTGCTAGGGTGCAGATAAGAAACTCCAGCGGTTTCCACTTTTTCTGCTTTGCACTAACACTAAGGATGCTCCAAGTGTTGGCCAGGATGGACACGCCCGAGCAGACCAGCCAAGCCAGCGTGTTGGCATTGATGACGTCATCCTTCATGGTGGTCATCTCATCCACCATGTTGGTATGGGGCAGGGCTCAGCCTGGAGGGCCGGGAGGAGCCGTCGGAGAGTTGAGGTACACGCAAGGAGAAGGAGGTGGTGACGCCGGGCAGGAGGGGACGCAACGTGTGGGGCAAGGCAGGCATCCTATCTGGGTGGGCTTGTACTCTCCATGGGTTGAGTACAGCAGGTAAATATGGTGGTAGTGGAGCGACACAGTGGGATGTAAAAGGTGAGGGTTGGCAGAGCTGAGCCAGTTCTTTTAAATGCATAGACCTGGAGAGACAGATGAGAACAGAAAGAGATCACATTTAGATTTTGGCAACACTTATATTTTGAACAATGATTTGTCAAATTCATGCATTTTTAAGAAAAATAAATACATCTCAGAGGGAGACTAGGTCTGCGCGTAAATATAAATAAAACCTAAAAACAATTTAGCAAAACTGACAGACTAAATGACAGATATAAATGCTCTTTGACCTGCTTGATAAGCTCTTATGTTTAGGGAGTAAGGGGAGTTGTTATGACAAAATAATGTCACTTTTTAATCAAATGTTTGCAAAAATCCCACTCCAAGCAGTAAAATGTTTGTTGATGCTTTTGTAAAACATTGGCATAAAGTAGTATTTCCAATTAAATATATTTTAATCAAGGATAGATGGATGCAAGGATAATTATATGTTCTAAATATATAATATATAATAATTATAAATATATAATAATTTAAAGTACCTCTCTAGAGCACCTTGCAATAAAAATAACATTTAAAGTACTTTTGTTTGCAAAAGAAATTAATTGTAATCTAAGAAGCTTTAAGTCAACTACTGTTTCCAAAACTTTTAATGAGATCATCTTTATAGGAGATAAAGTATAGAAGACAAGAAATGGATCACAATACACAAAGAAGAGATTTTGTGGTTTGTTTCTCCCAGCTGCTGTTAGACTTTATAAGCTTCATATTTTCTTTTCACAGGGTTTACGTCATACGGATAATATACGGTATATATATATTTTTTTTTTTGCACAGATATAAAAAGAAGAATACAATTCACATATGCATTTGTTATGATCTACATCTGCTTTATCATAACCACATAGTTTCATAACTAAGAACATTTCATGTTACTGTAGATTTTCTTATGTTTACAATTATTGCTTATTGCATATATATGTGAAGGGTGATCTATTCCATTCGACTTTTTTCATCATTGATTATTGTGACATATTATTTAATTTGTCCTTGGATTCATTAAATATACTGGATTTATTTGTGGAAGACAGAGACTTAGGATGAACCCTAGAACGTTAAATTAATCTTAATAACTGAAACTTGCAACTAACCATTAATTGTATCGGTCAGAATTTACTGATCACTCAGTGAATCCTCAAGAAGATTGGAAAGGATATATCCGTAACAGACATCTAACAAAAGACCACAGCAAAATATAATCTGTACCAGGATTTTCTTTCAGCCTAACACAACATATCCAACAACACTCATCACAAGAGGGCAACACTGGTTCCCCAACAGTCATGAAGAAAAGGCCTGGCACAGCTGGAGCCTGTTGTCAGCTCCAATCCCCTATTCTTTGGCTTGTCTAAACAGTGATGTGCTGCAGGCAGGGCTCCAGAGAAGGAATGATGAGAACAGCAGCAACAGTGCCTCCAGCACCCTGATCATATTTTCAGTGATCTAATTCTCCTTCTTTCTCTTTCTTTTACATCAGGACTGTTTGAAAGAAAATTATCTTTGCCTTCAATTATCTGTGTTCTCTGGGGGTAAGCATAGCCACAAGAAACAGGTGGTAGATTTAGTTTTCTAAGGAACATAACATAAAAAGAAAATGAATACCTCAGATTAACTATCAGATTAAAATAGCATCAAAGATTCTGTGTGCTTTAAAGGTTTTATTTAACATGGTGCAATGTAGTTGATATATACAGTAAAAAAAGTTTGAAAGTCAATAATTGACAGCGCATCATTCATTACTTTGAGACGGAGGCAAAATCAGATTGATAAGAACACAGAACATTTGGGAAAGGTGATATGATGGTTCTTAATAAATAACTTTTACAATTCCAATGGAAAATACATCAAGAGGAAACAGCTTACTCTCTATTAAATATAAATAACCCTATTTGATTTTATTCTTTTAAGCTATTATGTTGCTTGAAACCTACTAGCTCTTAGAAAACCCTGACAGCATGTAAATAATCTTACTGTAAACACAGTACATCTCATACAAAGAAAAGAGATTTAGACATAACCAGAATCAACAGATAGTGCTTAAATGAAATCAAAACTTGGTAAAAGAATATAGGAACTATTAAATTTATTAGGGATGCACGATATTGGGATTTTGGCTGATATCCGATATGCCGATATTTTAAAACTCATGTAGCTGATAGCCGATAACCGATATCGATACCGATGTTAAAGCTGGACAAAAATACGTAGTCATTGAAAATAGCAGTTTTGTTATCCATTTCTGACACTTTGAAAAATAATATACTCAAATATATTTTCATATGCTGATATCAAATAGATTTTTAAAAACGCGATATCGATCTATTTTACTTTCAAAATTTCATCGTTCTGTTACAAACTCTCGTGATATTTTGCTAATTTTTGTGGGATTTTGTTAGTAAAATAGATCGATACCGCGTCAATATATCAACATAAAAATATGGCAAATCTTTGTGAATTTTTGGGGGATTTCGTAGCATAACGATGACATATAGCAATATTTCATTAGCAAAAGAGATTGATATGGGGTTTTTAAATGGCAATATATCAGCATATGAAGATATTGTGATATTTTAATGTATCAATATTTTTTCCCTCGTCTTTAGAAGTTTTTAAGTCTGTAAAAAAGAAGTTTTTGAGGAAGAAGAAGAAGTAAAAGAAGAAGTAGTATTAGACTTTAGAAACTCAGAAGCTGATCAAATATCGGGTTAAATATCGGTGGGGTGGCCGATGTCCGATATTCAGTTTTAAGGCCGATACAGGCCGATACCGATAGGGGGCCGATTATATTGTGCATCCCTAAAATTTATACAAGATCAAGTCAAGTATAACATGGTATAAAATGAGTCTAATCACTTAAGTTCAAGAGATCAAAGAACCCAAAATGTGGATGCAATGCAATGTCCCTCTCCTGATCTCTTATTTCTGCTGCTAAAGCAGCTATAAAGCAAAATTTTGTGGAAGCGAGATTCACCCAGAAAAAATACTGCAAGACATTCTGTCTCCACAGCATCTGAAAAGCATCTGGGATATGAAAAGGATGATTCATGGCTTTGATTCGGGAATCTCTAGGTGGTTGGGATTGACTGAGTAGCAGAAGAGAGCTGAATCAAACAATAAGCACCAAAAGCAAGCGTCACAACATGACCCAAATCAACCCACTCCGCTTGCTCCAACATATAGCATAAGAGAAATACAATAAATTGGTTTCTTTTGCTTGGGAGATAAATAAACAGATTCAGAGAAGGCATATGTAGCAGTAATATGCAGTTTAAAAGAAATCATGACAACAGAGATTATAATACTGAGAGTCAAAACAAGATCTGACAAAGATGGTTTCAGGACCAAGTTAAAACCAAATATTTACATCCACTGTTAGAAGCAGCACTGTGTAACTTTTAGCCACTAGGGGCACTAGACTTGTGACATCCAGTTTTAGATCCCTAAAAGCAACTGGCAGCATGCAATGTCATAAAATTAAACAGACTCCCTCTATTTTTTGGAATCTGACAGCAGACCAATTTAGACCAGCAGTTTGAGAAGTCATGGAGTAACTTGTAAAGACAAGGAAACCCCTCTAGATCAAATCCTACATCAGAAAACCAGAATCAGAAATTTTTGTATATGTTTCGTTGCCTAACAATACATTTTTAGTGAAAGTGGATAAGCCAGGTCCAGATGGTAAAAACCTTGCCTTGTCTTCCTTCATACTGTTCACCTAACTAGGTGTTTAACCCCTCAGGTGATTTGTCTGTGTTATGGAGGTGGAAATAAAAATGGTTAAAAATTATTTCTGTATAGACTTTTGGCTTTCTGGACCTGGATTACCCACCTCTGGTGAGCTCAGTCTGCACAGCAGAGATCTGGGACAAATTATCCATTCAGGGATGGATCCCAGCCTCTCAGGTTACATAAGTGAGATTTTAAGCAGCCAACATGAAGCATCAATATAAACCAAGTGTTGTATACTTGTTGTATACAACATACTTGTAGGAGTAGTTTCAATACACCTTTTTTACTTTTAATGAGTGTTATCATTAGTGTGAGTATTATTATTTATAAATACTGTAACTCTTATTGGAAAAAAAGTTTTTCTACCCACCATGAGTAACCTCACTGAAATAAAAACAAATATGTTTGTCTAAAAAAGAAAATAATACCTTTTATCTGTTAATCCGTAGGTTACATAAGACTGTAAAGTGAATAATACTTACAAGTCATAATATGTACAAATTATCCACGGTAAATATTGCTTTTATAAGTGTTCATACAGTTTAATGTAAAACAGCAATTCATTTAGAAATATGTAATTTGCTTTACTTTTATTGTTGTGACTTTACAAACATATACACAGTGACTCATTGTGGTTTCATTTCGTTTTTAGAATCAGTTAGGATACAGAAAGAGATAATTCATTAAGCAATTTTAACTACTTTTTTCCATATCAGAAAATGTAAAGGCAGTAAGAAAACAAAGTATTTAAACAATGGGAAAGGACACAAAGACCTCATTGCTTTCTAAGCTTTCTTATAGGTTAATTCACAAAGTTTAGAGCAGACCTGAAAAAGCCCACTAGATGTACTCAAACAGCTTCATTTATTGACACGTTATTTCATCTGCTAACGCTAAATGTGAACAGCATTCCTATAAAACCATCATTAGATTTGGAGATGCCTCAATATATAAGAATACCATTCAAACAGTGAAACACAAAGATGGCAGCATCATATTGTTAAAGTATTTTCAAGTATATCACTAAATTAGATTAAGACCAGCGGAGTTAATGTTTAGAAACTAAAATCACAAAAACCTGATCTCAGATAAATAGAAAATCTGTGGGAGTTAGAAGCTGTTTGTGAGGAAAACATCTTGGAATCCCACCCAGGTTTTACAAGTTCTGTGAGTTGGAATTGATTAAAATTGGGGCAAATTTATATTAAAAAGCTTATTTATTTAGTTTAAAAGTCAAATGTACTAAAAACTTAGGGAATACACATAAACCTCTATGTTTGAAAAAAAAAAAAAA